AGTGCGATTGCTGCCCACAACACCCCGATTGCACCTGGGAAGTAGAACGAACGCTCCACACCCAAAAGGGGAATCTAGATACTACTGAACATCGCTTACAGGCCAAATGGCCAAGTGATTTTGAGCATGCGCAGTAAAGAAACACTAGGAGCTCATGCGAAAGACCAGACGGCGTGGGTCGAGGGAACATGGAGACAAGAGAGACGACAGACATCCAATACATTCGCCAGAGCTGTGAGGCCGTGGTCGGGTTTGATGGGCGACGCAAATATCCATAACCACCCTGTAGTTCTTACAAGTATTTCAGGCACAAAATTGGTACAAACTGTCGACCGGGAACAGGTCCGGTTGCGGAAGTGTTCCCTTCATAATGGGAAGGATTTAGTTTCTTAGCTATTCGTGCGGTTTGCCTTCGCAATTTGTACTAGCCTTCAAGGCCACTTACACACCCAACCCACCGCCACGGTCGCTGCCTGCCTCTACTCAGGTATACAGCCCGCCCCCTATGGTTTTTCCCTCCTGGTGGGCATATAGCTGGTCCTTCCACTACAGTTTCGTCTTATGGCGAGTGAAGTTACGAACCGAGTCCGCGACTTCTTCGGGGATAAATGCCACAGGCGTAAGGCTTAGTACAATTCACAGACACACTTTCAACAATTAAAAAAATTACCAAAAAAAGTATGCAAAAGTCGAACTTACGTTTTCCACTTCAAAGGCGTATTGTTCCACATCACGCTGTAATGCTTTGATTTCCTCTTTTTGCTTATGTGACGCCTCTTTCAGTTCGAACATCAATCGGACATCTTCTTCTCGCACTACAAGTAGTTACAACTTACTAGTCGGAACGATGTGATATTCAAAAGCAACCCCACGAAAAAAGGAAAAAAATCGAACGGACAATCAGTTGAAAGGCTCTTCACAAAACTACTCTCTGCATTGAGAAATCTTGAAAAAAGCCAGGCACTTTCCGCGATAGCGAGTGGGCGGGGAATCATAATCGCTGGATATTCCTCACTTTTGCGCTCCCATTCTAGTCTTAGAGAGCAGGGGCACGCCAGTTGAGAAAGTTAATCGTAATGGTCATGAGTTTCCGCCCAAGCGATTATCGCGGAATCGCGTCCATGAGCAAAAGAGGGAGTCATTAGAGCCAAATTGAAGAATTAATGATTCAGAGGTTAGAGTGTTTATGAAAGCTCTACAGCTCTTAGTGTAACCGATCGATAAAATCAATAAGGACTCACTGGCTGCGGATGTGGGGCTCTCCGTGTTGGCAGGTAATGAAGAGACAGTTGTGCTTAACGTCTTGTTTTCAGACATTAACGCCTTTACCATCGATCGTAGCTCGTTGATGTCCTTTTTGTACGTCTCTTCGACTTGGTCCAGCTCCTGAATACGGTACATTTTGACACTGATATCAAAATCTCAATCTCATTCATTTCCCATAGAGCAAATTCTCCAGAAACAGAAAAAGTTCCATTAACGAGCTGTCCCCCCTACTGAAGTATCAAAGGAGGGAGCTATGGTAGTTGTGAGAAGAAAGGCGTGCGAAAGTTATGGCTGGACCAAATCTAGTGGCAGTCTGGCGCTTTCGGAGGGTAAACTAGTGAAAGTAGGGATGCACTCTCTCGGTGATAGCGCACAGACCGACACGCTAGTCGCACCACAGCGTGACCCCCCATGCTCTACAGCTCCCTCGGCCCCAGGTAAGGGCTAAACATTCGGGATCGATGAATTCAACACTGGGATGCGTCACGTCTTCGACGTCAGCCCACAACCACAGCGACATATGAAC